GGGCCGTGCGCCAATGGGCGGGCCCGCGGAGTGGTGGGGGCAGCGCCGAGCAGCACCGCGCAGCGCCCCACCGGGGCCCCGCGGCCGGCACAGCTCGGCCCCGCCCGCCTCGCTGCCGTGGCGCCCCCCGCCGGGGGCCCGCAGCCCGCACCGCCACGCCCCGCCCGCCACGCGACGAAGCGACAGCGGTGTCAACTTAATTACAACTTGACAAATTTAAAATCATACGAACTGGAAACACGAAATTTCTATAGGTTAAGAATAAGAATGAGAGAGGGGCTTCAACGGAAGGACTGAGGTCAATCAGGTCAAAAGCAGAGGCTGGCCGGGAGACATTTAGGTTGATATTATGTCTTTACCTCAACCCAAGAGTATATTACAGCAGGTGGCTGGTGAACTCAGCGCTCTTTTGTAGCCTTGTTGTCCCGCATCATGATCGTTTCCATCCAAACATGGTGGTCAAAATATGCATAGCCCAGTGAGTGACACGTCCTATGAGATTAATATGAGATGAATCCTAATTTTGTTATGGTAAAGGCGAATCTTCAAATACTGTTCTTGAAATTTTTAAAAATTGGGTCGTTTCTTGCTCATTTCTGTGGGTACAGATTTTTATAAAAATAACTGGCGATTGTAGCTTATTGCGCCGTTTTTGGTTCAAAGTTGGGTTAACCTATCGCTTTCTGACACAGAATACACATCACGCCACGTACCATGGGTTTGTCGAAATGCACAACGTTTCGCGCTTGCTCGACAGAAACATAAAAAAAAAAGGCGACTAATTTTTTCACTTACCTGCTGCGGGATGCATAAGAAATGAGGATGAAGATGAAGACTGCTGCGCATGCACTGCGGTCCTGCTCCGCCCGGCGCCCTGTAACACGAGCAATAAAGTGAGGTTAGGCCACGACAGGGGTGACTCTGCACTGCATCGTGGCGCGTCGCATAAGGGCCAGAGGGGGGAATCTGCTCTCGGCCGTAACGGCGAGAGGAAATAACTGGGAGGAGAGGAGCAGCGAATAAGTGTCCCTCTCTGGTCCGAGGCTTCTAGGACGGGGCTGTCCCGCCTCATATCGTAGTTTACGCCCCGAGCTCGCGTCGCCGTGTCCCCGGGGCAGCGGGCAGCCTGTGCGGTCCGCTGGGAGATGAGTGTCGACGCCGTGTCCCATCCGATACCCAGAGAGTTTCTCGTAATTAAAGTGAGAGCATCCCATGCGCCTTGCCCGCATCCCTCTCTCTCTCGCTCCCCCTCGCCCCACGGCAGCAGCTCATTGCTACGCAATTAACTCCGCGATCGCTTTTCCAGAAGTCCGCATCGCGGTCATGCGCTGCCAGAGAGGAGGCCCCCAAGGAAAGTAGTGGTGGTGGTGGTGGTGGTGGTGTCCGCGGCGTGGCGGGGCGGGGCGTGGCGCACTCGGCGACGTCAGGAAATATTTGCAAACAACCCGGATTCGTCGCGGCGCATCGGGTGAAACTGGATCACACATGCGCGCGGCAGGAGGGCCGGGGCCAGGCGACGCGCACGGAGAGCACAGAGGAGAACGCACTTTGCGGGGCCACCACGCCGCGCCGGCCGGCCACGACCTCCGCCTCATCCCCGCTCCGGATCAGCAAAAGGAGATGCGGCTGGATATCACGGCCAGGTCTTATTGCCGGCTCTCCATATTCCGGTCGAACCACTCCGCCCGTGTCAATATGACGGCACGCCGCGCTGCTCTGCGGCCGCGCCCCACCACGCGCCACACACACGCACACACACACACACGAAAGGGTCACCCTCCTCTCTGCCTGCCGAGGAAAACATGATTATAAAAGCAGGGAGTCGTGCATCCAGAAAGATAGCGCAGGCATACCTTGTCGCACATACCGTCGTCAACTCGATTTTTCCAACTTGGCGCGGTTGGTTTTGATGGAGTAGGGTTATTTCAGTGGATTCTGGGGCCGGAGGTACGAAGTAGAAGGGTTAGAGCGGAACCAGCAGTTGAATGCAAGGCGTCGGGGTATGAGAAATTCGCAATTCTCCGCCCTTCGTTTGTTTATTTTCAGTGAAACTACGTATATTTTGCGCTCGTTTTGAGAAACGCGTACGCAGATATTGCGTTGCAACCAGCGCGTGTATCGAAACAACCGGTAAAAATAAGCAGGGGATATTTCTCGTCCTAATAGACCATTCCACCGAATGGGGAAGAAGAAAGGAAAGAATCAAAAAGTACCGGAAACAGTACCGAAAACCAGTATGTAGATCATTTGTGTACACCTCTATGGCACACCAACAAGTCCAGAATAATTATCTTGGCCAAGAAAAGTAGAAAAAGTGAACGATTTGATCTGTTTATCAATACTGTTTCCGGTGGTTTTTGATTCTTTTCTTTCTTCTTCCACAGTCGGTGGAATGGTCTATTTTTGTCGTAATGCCACAAGCCACAACAATGCGGCGAAGACGACGACGACAACAACATCAACACCATCAACAACAACACCATCAACAAAAACACCATCAACAACAACAACAACATCAACAACAACAACAACATCAACAACAACAACACCATCAACAACAACAACAACATCAACAACAATACCAACAACGGCGTACAACATATGATACGCTTTGCAGAGAGGAAAGTGTATGAGCCAGATTCGCAGAGTTGTGCGAACCGTAACTTACAGTGAACTAACAGACCGGCCAACACGATGCGGCCAGCAGCCGCCGCTGCCCCGCGCAGCAGTGTGTGTCGTTGGAGATGGCCCGTGCGGCCAGTGCGGCGGTCGCGCGGCGGGCCCGTGACAAACCACACAGCGCTGCGCTGCCGCTGCGCTGCGAGCCGCTATCGGAGGCACTTCAAAGGGCGCATCACCTGGCGAGCCCAGCTGCTCGGCTCCGCCAGGCTCCGCCAGGCTCCGCTCGGCTCGAGCCGGCTGACCTCCGACCCGCGCGCGCCACGGACGGCAGGTGCTGTATGGCGCTCCGGCACCAGCACCGGCAACAACAATGTGCAGACTTAAATCGCTCCCCGAGCGAGAGGCGAGTGGGCTGGGCCCGTTCCAGCGTCCATTGGCGGCGCAGACTATGTATTTCGCGCGCGGACGGGCGGGCGGGCGGCTGGCGCGCGCCTCCTACCTAAAAATATCCTTCATATCCTCCCGGTCCATTGCGAGACGCGAAGTCTGTATCATGAAAAACCGTACAGGAAAACGTATCGAGTGCGTATGAAAATCCGTCGCAAACTGTCGATGACTTGTCCTCTCACTTATTGCCCCGTTTGCGAATTTAAGAAGCACATATCAGTATTTCAGCACAATCCTAGAGTGAACCTTAGAATTCTACTTTCACGAGTTCCCCTCAAAGACCATAAATTAAAGAAGCCAATAAGGTATTCCGGAGAACTGGAAAAGAAGAACAGCACGAATAACAAAGGGGCCTGTGATTCGTCGCTCAAGTGGAGGGGGAGACCGGGCGACGAATCACGGGCCACCTTGTTATTCGTGCTGTTCTTCTTTACCCGTTCTCCGGAATACCTTATTTTTGGACCCACCTCTTTTTCGTGATAAAAACTTTCTCCGCCTAAGGGGCGATTTTCGTTCAATATTTTAGTAGGAATGCATAATTTTCAGTTAAAAACTTCAGACTTTCCGGTAGAGCCCATGCACGAATCAAGTCAAATTTATAATTGGGGAGTTGAGTGTTATTTAGTTTGTCAATTAATCGTCACATACATCCATTTGTGGAGCCCCTATTACGGCTCGTCCACCGAGAGACACCTGCGGAGTGCGCGGCCGTACCAAGCGGTCCAGACGCTCCTCCAATAAATCGCTCGCTGAGGACGCATACAGGCAAGGTCCACGTAACTCGGCGGAGCGCTCCAGCCAGTTACGGTAGGGCAAGAAGTTGGGTTATTTACGACGATAGAACGGTCCCTCGGCCTTCGAGTAGCAAAGGGTCAGGCAGTTGGCGTCCGGACCGCAAAGGGCCGTCGGGGTCACCTCCAGACTGTGACCAGCGCGAGTTCCCCCTTGCCTTCTCCCCCCTCTCTTTTCCTCGCTGGGCAACCGTCCATCACATACGGCCCCACTGCAAAGGGCCATATATTTCCTGCTTTTACAATCATATTGTGTCAGATGCGCTCGTAAAGGCAGAATGTAGGCAGACGGAGGATAAATCAAGGCACCGTTTAATTAAAAAGTGAATAAAAACGCACCGCCGCACCCCTTTCACCTCAAGAAGAGCTTGCGCCGCAAGAGCCGGCGGGCAGACGGGCTCGAACCCGCGACCTTGCCCCCTGCAGAGAGAGAGAGAGAGAGGGGGGGGGTAATCATTTTACTGGTGATATTATTTCCTACACTTTCCCTCATTTTTACGGCCGTGGGAGGGAAATGAAAAATGATTGCGAAAGAGCCAATAAAGCAGTAAAGCTGGCGGAGAACAGAATGCGCAAAAAGGGCCCCCTCGCCGTGCGATAATGTCGTCGTACAGTACGCACTGTAATGTTAATTAGAGCGATGCGCGTCGTCAGATCGCCGCAGCCGCGGCGGCGGCGCCCCCGCCCTTCCTTCGCAACCAATTGCGGTTTCCGATCGAGCGACTTTACACACACTCACACACAAAACACACTCACGCACAGAGACTGATCCATCAACTGCAGCGCAGCTAAAATGTATCCATCACACCTCAGCCAGCGAACCAGTTTCTGATATAAAGGCGCCTCCCTACAATCCGGGGCCGCAATCACCTCTGCTGCTGCTGCTGCTGCCGCCGGGATGATGACGCGCTCTGCCCGATCCAGGGACGTCCTGGTCGCGCATAGAGAGCCTCCTCCGCCATCACCATTACAAGCGGCCTTATCAGCGGCGAGAAGGGAATTAAGGAGGAGACGAGAGTGCGCGGCGGGGACCTCGCAGGGACTATAACCTCACCCGCCATATCGTAATGCAGGGCAAAAAGCGCGCGCATTCCTCCCGGCTGCGCGCATGCATATGTGCGGATGAGCAAAGTGACCCGCTGCTGCTTCTGCTACTTTGCCTCAAACTAACATGTTTTAGTCGCGCGTGTTTTTTTAAAAATAAAAATATGTGCGGTTTAATGTCACTCACACTCGTCGCGGCGCGCGGATTTCTTTTGAGGTCCAATCGCCCCCCTCTTGAGCTACGGCGTCCCGCATGATAGCGAGGACCTTTCACTCTGCAGGTGTTATCATCTCGGCTATGCCGCGCCATTGCGCGTTTACGGGCCGGCACATCTCGAGTGTGTGTGTGTGTGTGTGTGTGTGTGTGTGTGTGTGTTGTTGCAGCTCGTACTCACATGGGTGTGACCCGCCCCGCCCCGCCGCCTGAAATGAAGACCTCACGGGTACACGCCGCGGTACTTTACAGCCGCACTTTATAGGGTAGCGGCACTCCCATAGCCCCCCCCGGCGCACTCCACTTCTAATTGCGACTGTACCGAGAATGGAGCCAATATGGCCAATTTATTTTCATTAGCTCCTCTTTTTTCCCCCTTCTTCTTTTTCCTGATGAGCGAATCGCTTTGCGCCGCATAGCTGGCGCGGCCCGGCCGGGCGCGCGTCTTGGCGCCGACCGACCTCTTTACACAACTGTAAATGTTTACAAGTCCGGCGACGCGATCGCCAGGTCGATAAAGCGATAGCAGTATCACATTTCAGGCCTCGTCCAAAAAAATAAAAAGCACATAAATAATATACTAGACGCCTAGAGTCGCGCCATTGCTCACATCGCCTTTTTTCGGTGCGACGCGACGAAGGTCGAAAAAAAAATAAGACATGACGGACTTTCTGATGATAAAAACGAGAAAATTATTGCGCGGATGAGAAGATGAAATCACCAGGGCGACAGAAAACTTACTCCCCGCCGTTGCCGTGGGGAGCCTGATATCTGACATCACGTCGTCAGCTGGGCGGCAGCGCGACGGAGTTATTCCGACCTGAGATGAGGCAGGTTCTGTATTCAGGGCTGCGGGCGGCCCCTGACCCGGCCCGACCCGCGCGCTGGGGAAGACTCTTGGAGACAAACTGAGAACGGCGATCTCTTGTGGCGCGACCGGCTCACCCCCTGCAAAAATATTAAAACCATTTCGATGGTATTTACCGAAGGTGCAGATCGGATACTTTAAAATGAACGACTAACGACTGTGGGGCGGAGGAGGCATACAGAACGGGTTGGAATGGTACAACAATGATGGTCAGGTGAGCCGCGTCTCGGCCACTTATGGTAGGAGGCCGAGCCCATTCACGATGACTCTTGCGGCGATCCGGCTTCTTTGACTCAGCGCCATACGCGCCTCGACACGGCACGCCTTCGGGTAGGGTTTCGCTGACCTATTCGGAAGTTGGCGACCGTGGTGAGGAAAAAGGGCGGACAATGCGCGAACGTGCGGTTCAGACAGTCATTGTGTCGCGACACGCAGAAACCGATCTGGGCTTCCCGAAACACTGCAAAAAAAGGAGAAGAAAGAGACACAGGTGTATGTCGAATGGGTGAGAGGAACTGAGCATACAATGTTGTACCACGTCTTGTTGGTGGAAACATCATCATCAACGCAGCACGTAATCGTCGCTACTTTTAGTAGTTCCGGCTGGCCCACGAGAGTTGCGGTAAAATTATAGACAGTAAACATCATCGGCTAGAAAAACGGACGCACGCGCAAGGTGATGCAGACGATCAAAAGTACAGACTGCTTTCGCTGGCACACGTTAAAAGTCTTTTCACTTGGCACGACGGGCTCCTCTGGGACGGGCGGCTACACGCCGGATATCAAGCCGGGGCGCCAATAAGCGGTCAGACAATGTACGCTTCCCGAGAAGCAGCCCCTCACTACTTCGCAGCAACGCTTTAAAAAAACGAGGAATAGGCACACGCAAAAAAAATATAAAAATTGCCGGCTTTCAACGCTGCGGCTTTTATGACCCCCGCGGTTGTGTGTGAGGACAGGCAAAAACATAAGCGCTCATTACCGCTTGCGGAAGGACTTACGATTGCCCTAGATCAAATATGGAAGGCAGCGGGGCGGGCAAAAAGCTAAGAGAGACCGTTCGAGAGCATCCAAGTCGCGCGGCGGGTTTCGAACTCACGGGCAGTATTGAGAGCCAAAATAGGCGCACACGCAGCCGCGCATAGGCACAGAGGCCCCTGTGCAGTGTGATTTACGAACGGGTCAGGTAGTGTTCCATGTTCCATGTTCCATGTTCCATGTTCCACTGCCGTCCGAGTGGATCATGTGCGGGCCCCCGCACAGTGGTGCGTATTTTCAGTCCGGGCCGACAGGGTACGTCATCGGCCGCCCCGGCCCCGGGCATCCCGCGCCGCTCCCGCTAGAATGGGCCCATAGATTCATACTACTTTACGGTTTCATTGTTCTCCCCCCGAGGATTATTGTTAATTCTAATTTTTATGGGCGTTTGGTCCTCCCGCGGTGCGCGTCTTGCCGAAGCAGGAGAAGGAGGAGGATGACGGGGAGGAGGAGAGGGAGAGGGGCGAGAGAAAAAAGAGCAAAGCGGTGGGAAGTGAGGCTGACCCCGGCTGTCCGCAGAGCACTGCCCGGGCTCTTCCATTTCCGCTCGGCAAAATTTACAGCTGTTAAAAGAGGTATGTGGGGCTCTTCGAAAAAGCAATCAATGCAGCGCGCGAGCTAGCTGTCCAAAGCAGCGGCGGCGGCTGATGAGGCGGATAGGAGGACCTGCTGCATAACCACATGCTGAAAGCGTTCTGCAGCCTGAGAGAGAGAGGGGGGGGGGGGGGGTTGGATAGGTGTGTCGTATACCAGAGGTGGCTCCTTGGTCCCGTGAGGTCTTGGGTGAATATGCAACCCCTAAACCGAACACACCCCACCCCATGCGTGCGGGTCCAATCAGCAGCCACCTGGTACTTCAATAAAACATTACAAAATTGTCTTTATTACAGTTACCCCCGATATATTCGTCAGGAAGAGTAACTGGTAGTCAAAAATCTTTTGTTTAATAAATATTTCGAATTTAAC